TTATGACTTGAGCCGATTGTTAACACACGTTCGTCTTTGCGATTTAGTTCTTAGCCACGCCGTGGGTATCGAAAATGCTAAACATGATTTAAAAATTGGGCCTCATTCCCCTGACTCCGAAAGAGCATCCAATTTCGCAGCGTTGAGTAGGACGAGTACGGAAAGGCTGCTAAAATCTCAGAGCCAATGGAAGCTGCCTGGATTTCAAAAAACTATGGTGACGATCTGTACCTACAATGCACGTACACTTGCATCCGAGTCTTCGATAGAAGACTTGCTCATACAAGCAAGAAGGATAAACTACGAAGTTATTGCCCTGGTAGAGACGAGACGACGCCACCCATTCAACGCCGTCTATGACACCGGAGAAGAATATGCGACAGTAGAGGAGTCGGTGGCGTCGGCCTTCTCGTCAGCACGAGTTTGCCCATGAACATCGTTTCATTCGAACAACTTACAACCCGAATCGGATGTTTACGATTAAAAAGATGTGGATCAATACCAGCTTTGACAATCTTAGCCGTTTATGCGTCGACATCAAACTATGACGAAGAAGAAATCGAAGCATTCTATATACACTTCCAGAAGCTCTACAGAGAAGCTCGCACATTCTTCCAGATTATCACCGGAAATTTGAACGCCAAAATTGGATCGAGAAGAACGTCTGAAGAACGTCACATTAGGATCCACGGACTAGAACGGAACGAGCAGGGCGAGCGGCTGATTGAGTTTATCATGGTGGCGACCAAAAGCATCCATAGTAACTCGCAATTCCAGAAGTCCCACCCTCAACGCTGGACGTGGGAGTCTTCCAATGGAGAGTACTATAACGAAATAAACCACATCATAGAAAGCAGAAGGTTTTGCCTAAACGATGTCGCTGTTGTCCAGAATTCTACACGGAATCAGACCATCGTCTCCGTGCAACATTCTATTTCTCGCGGAAAGGAGAAAAAACTGCCAAATTCAAAAACCGAAGACCTAGAACCACAACAAACTGGGTCTCATTCAATTCATTAGTAGGCTTTTGGGAAGACGCCGTTGTCGATAGCATCGACGAAAAATACGATCGGCTCATTCAACATCTTCACATTAGCGCTATGAAAGCTGAGAGTTCGAAAGTCACCAAGAGACGTTTTTCTCCAGAAACACTCGAGTTGATACGCCAGTGTGGAATCGCGCGAGCCGCAGGCAACCGTGAACTAACGTTCGAAATTGCAAAACAATGCAGAAAGGCGATAAAAGAAGATCTTAAAGAGAGAAGAGCAGCAGTAATGGTCTAAGCTGCAGAAGCTGGGAAAAGCATTTGCAAAGCCCACCGAAGCTTCGGCAATTACGAGACCAAAATGATTGCACTCCTGCGCCCAGACGGAACAGTCAGAGCGTCCAGAAAGGCAACAGGGAAAATCATACACGAATACTACTCAGATCTCTTCAATAGCCACGTCCACTTTCCACCACACGAAATAAAGGAAGACGGATATGTTCTACCACCGGCTCTCCCTTCCAAAACCCGACATGTCACTACGTCGGTGGAAAATCGAATAGCACCAGGTCCGGACAGGATAAGATCAGAACGCCTGAAGAAATTACCGCCAGTCCTCGTAAACACACTGGCTCGGCTCATCACACGTTACCTGTCTGAATGCAAGATCCCTACCCAGTGGAAGACCAGCAAGACCGTGTTATTGTTCAAAATGAGTGACCTACAGGATATCGCAACTATCTCCGAATCTGGTTGCTGTCTGTCGTCTACAAGCTTTTCACTCGGGTTATCCTAAACAGAATTGACAAAACACTGAACGAAGGACAGCCATGTGAACAAGCAGGGTTTCGAAAAGGATTTAATACTATGGGCCACATCCACACGACAACAGGACTCATTGGAGTATCGCGAGAGCACAAAAGACCGTTCTGTTTTACATTCATCGATTTAAAGAATGCGTTTGACTCAAGTGAGATAGAAGCAATCACAGAAGCACTTGATAGTCAAGGAGCCTGTACTCAGTACATAAAGATTCTTCGTAAGCTGTACAAAAATTTCACAACCGAGGTATCACCATTCTACAACGATATTAACATTGACGTCAAAAGAGGAGTTAGGCAAGGCGATACCATCTCGCCAAAATTACTTACCGTCACCCTCCAGAACGTCATGCGAACATTGGAATGGGATAATAGGGGAGTGAAATTCGATGGACGGCAGTTACACCGTCTTCGCTTTGCTAATGGCATCGTTCTTATAACGCCAAATATTAGCCATGCGAAACCTATGCTTGCCGAATTTGATGAAGCCTGTGGAAAGATTGGTCTTCGACTAAATCTCTACCCTAACGTATGCGTCAGAAACCTTGTCGCTGCGTAAGCACGATGAACGATCACTTAGCGTTATCGAACGCGCAGTCGAAAGGACGATGCTAGGAGTATCCCCTTTCACACAAGTAAGGGATGGGGTCCGAAGCTGCGACCTGCGTCAACGATCAGAAATCAAAGACGCCGTTCTGTATGCCAAGCAGTCGAAGATAGGGTGGGCCGGGTACGTAATGCGTATGAATGACAACCGATGGACAACAGCCGTTAGTGACTGGATTCCTCGAGATGTCAAACGTACTCCAGGAAGACCACCGACCCAATGGTCAGAGTTCTTCACAAATAGCCCTGAAGAAGGATATGATGCTCGACGAGTCCCTAGAGCGAGCAGAACCCACTGGGCTACTGCTGCACGCGACAGAGAATAATGGAAATTTACTGGCGCCCGCTCGAATCACTCGACGATCAACGGGACTATAGGTGATACATGTGAACCTTGCGTAAACTTACCAATAAAGTCAAACATTCCTTAGAATGGTGACCAATCGCCTCACCTACAACCCTGAGCTATACGCCGTTTTGTTGCAAATGTTACATAATTACTATATCAGAAGAACTACGGCGTTGTTCATGGCACCGAAGCCATTTTCTGACTAGGTGTCTTCGATGTCCATTTTTCCTCATTTCCATCATATTTTAACAGCTAACCAATTCGTATCTATCAGTGGATTAACGCAATTTGATAGCACGTATTTATTGTTTCGGAAGAAATATTAAAGAACTGGTGTTGTTGGATCGAAGTTGGCACCTTCAACTTCCTAGAGAATTTTCGACGAGAAACTACATCTCTTCCTCTTGCATTTGCACTCCTTTGAGATGGGGATTCCATTTCTTTCTGATACGATTTCTGGTTATCTTCCAGTTTTTTATGCGCTTGTACCGTATTCTAAATAAGATCGGGTATAGAGAATTTTCTAAATAAGATCGGGTATAGAGAATAGGTCATTAAATCTGATACATCAGGTTTTACTTTTCCGTAAGCCAATGGGCCGTTCATTTCCACTCAAGTGGTCCTTTTTCTTGGCTGAGAGCCTCTCTTGTATGTCCTTCAAGAGCCCTCGGAGCCATTTCTCTTCTTATGCTTGTTCTCTAAAAACAACATGATGAATACTCTCAATGGTGTTTTCTGTTAGCCACCAACCAAAAGTGTGAACAAAGGAGTGGGCAATACTAAACGAGACAACTGGAACTGGAGAACGATTAGATGTTATTGGTGGCCGGAAAAACGAAAGTTTTGCTTCCAAGAGAAAGAGAATTTTTGATAGCTCATGTTAGCTCGCGACTAAGCAAAAAATTATTTCATTTTGTTACACAATTGACGAGGTAAGCAACGTAATGATAATTTGGTTCAAAGCGCGCTTGTCACTTTTAGGGTCGATTTCGTTCAATGCATGCTCTCCAACATCGACCTGGACGATCGTCGCTCTTAAATGACGCTAATAGGAACGAAATATTGTTGTCCTGGAGCTAGCACTATGCTGTAGGAAGGCAGATTTTTGCACATACCTGCCGCTGGTGAGTCTTCTTACTGCGCACACTGCTTTTGGCTGTGTCGACTTCGTGCGCCATGTATATCGATTGGCGAAGGCTGCGTCGGAAATGCTCCGCGAGCGTCAGCACAATTTGAGTGAGTAGGAAACGCTTGGCATTCTTCTCCACTGGTTGATTGGTTGCCGTTGGAATGCAGCCAGTATAGTCGGAGTGCACGTATATATACCCTTGGTTATATGTTATCTTTCATTATCATCTTAACACGAAGTTGATATCAAACTCCACTCGGTTAACGGTGAGAAAAAAAATGTTATCAGCAGATAGTCAGTCACTCACCAACCGCTCTCTATAAAAGCGCGCTGCCGAGTGAATTCACTTCATTTCAAGTACCGGTGATTTGATTCTTTGTTACAAAGAAAAACTAAACCGCAAGGACGAACGGCTGTTAGCAATCGGCTCAAGTCATAACAGCTCCAAAAAAGACGTCGGAACGTTAGCCGAATAATATTTGATACCAAAATCTTACTGGATTACCACTATAAAAGGTAGATCTCCTAATAACTCGAAGGACCGATTTTATGTGAAGTTCAGCATAAATTATCGATATATATATATATACATATATGTATATCCACGGATCTCCTTCATATGAGGGATCCCGATAGCAGGTTAGCCGCGACGTGGCGCGTCTAGCTAGCGGTTAAGGAGTTAATCACTGACCAAAAGCGACCTTTGCTTCGCTGAGACGCAAGTGGATCCAGAGAATGATCACCCTGTTTCTGATGCGCTGATTTGGCACATACTTTCTGAATTTGCTAGGCGTATTCATGCATGCGTGTGTGAGGGTGGTTCTTGCTTATGCGGATTGTATTCTACGAGTCAGTTCGGCCAAAAGATTGCAATCAAGTGATTGGGAAGTATATGGAAGGAGGTTAGGAGTCGCCTCCAACAGAAAAGCTGCATATCCATTCTGGGAGACCTTGGCAAGCTACGCGTGAATACACCAAGCACCCACGTTCAGAGCCCAGCAAGCTATACGTGGGAATCAAAAATGGTAAACACAGTAAAAAAAAAAAAACGGGTCTCATTCCCCTGACCATGAAAGAACCCCCAATTTCGCAGCGTTGGGTAGGGCGAGTATGGAGAGGCTGTTAAAATCTCAGGGCCAATGGACGCAGCCTGGATTTCAAAGAACCATGGTGAAGATCTGCACCTACAATCCACGTACACTTGCATCCGAGTCTTCGATGGAAGACTCGCTCGTACAGGCAAGAAGGATAAAGCACGACGTCATCGGCCTGGCTGAAACGAGACGACGCCAGCCTTTCAAAGCCGTCTATGACAGTGGAGAAAAACTGCTCCTCGGAACGGAACATGCGACAGTAGAGAAGTCGGCGGCGTTGGCCTTTTCCTCAACATGAGTCTGTCCATGAACATCGATTCATTCGAACAACTTACATCCTGAATCGGACGTTTACGATTAAAAAGATGTGGATCAATACCGGTTTTGACAATCTTCGTCGTTTACGTGCCGACATCAAAACATGAAGAAGAAGTCGAAGCGTTCTATATGGACTTGGAGAGGTTCTACAGACACGACCACACATTCTTCAAGGTCAACATTGGAGATTTCAACGCCAAGATTGGACTAAGAAGAACGTCTGAAGAGCGCCACATTGAGACCCACGGATTAAAATGGAACGAACAGGGTGAGCGGCTGTTTGAGTTTATCATGGCGACCAACACAATCCATGGTAACTCGCAATTCCAGAAGCTCCACCCTCAACGCTGAATGTGGGAGTCTCCCAATGGAGAGTACCATAACGAAATAGACCACATCATAACTAACTCCCATGACTTCGTAATGTAGCCATTTTCTGGCAGGTTAATTTGGACGTTCAGGAATGGAAGCCATTTTTCTTTCGGTTTCTCTCGGGTGAACTTGATATACTCTGACTGTTTATTCAACAACTCGAGAGATTAGTCCATTTCCTCTTGTGTTGATCAAAGGACAAAACAGTCGTTTACATATCTACAGTAGAGTAGCGGCACGAGATCACTCACCGGTGCTTCCACCTTAGACATAAATGCAATGGCAAGGCTTGGAGCCAGTCGTTGTCCCATTGCCAACCCTCTTATTTGAGCGTACTACTTTCTGGACCATCTGAAGATTGAGTAGCTCAAGCATTCTTTTAAGAGTGCCATCAGGTGCTCTATCTTGAAGCCATACATGTTAATTTCTCTTTCGTGTTGTGTGGTAAGGGCTGCTGGTTTAAAACCATCAGTTATTTCTCAACTAAAAGTTGACTTAGCAACATGCCCCGTCTTGTACTTACTTATAAAAACTCATAAGTTAGTGATTTTCTTCGTATTTTTGTTGAGCAAACGCGCGGTGTTATTATTAGTTAGTAACTAGCGATGATCTTGCGTCTACCGATCCATCACTATTTAAGGTTAGACCTATCATTAGCTGCGTAGACGGGCCAACGGACAGGATAACATGGTTTTAACCCTAATATTTAACCAGTTGTTGAAACACATTCCAGCCCATCTTACGAATACCCAGATGTTTCTGGATCGTCTACGTACTGCGCAGCCCAGCAGCGCGTGCGTGAAGGAGTCCTTCGACGTTATCGCCCTTTATACAAGCCTGTCGAATGATTCCGCAATGCAAGCCATATTCGAACTCCTTACACAACACGAAAAAGAAATAAACATGTATGGTTTCAAGATAGAGCACCTGATTACACTCTTAAAAGAATGCTTGACCTACTCAATCTTCAGGTGGTCCGGAAAGTACTACGCTCAAATAAGAGGGTTGGAAGAAGAATAAGAAGAAAAATGGCTTCCATTCCTGAACGTCCAAATTTACCAATCAGAAAATGGCTACATTACAAAGTGGTACCGAAAGCCAAGTAGTAAAAATATCTTGGTTCATTACCTCTCCTCTCACCCCTCTCACACGAAAAGGGCGCTTATAAGAAACATGTTTCGAACAGCAACCAACGTGTGCACGGGAAGAGAGCAGAGAGAGGAGTCCCGGAACTTGGCGCGGCAAACAGCCATTTCTAATGGCTACGAAACTGTAGCGCAGAATAGGTGTAGAGGAAATCGTAGGCCTCCAAAGGACAACTCTAGCGATAGAAGGGTCCCGTTTATCCTACCCTTCATCTTAAATGATGTAAGTACAGCTATAAAACGCTGCTTGAAAAGGGCGGGTTTAGAGAGTTCGGTCAACGTGGTTGAAATACCACCGAGTAATCTTAAGCGCCAGCTAGTTCCTAACCGCCTATATGACCGTCTATGTGCAACTCAAAATTGCATACTTTGCCCCAGTGGTAGAGACGGTGATTGCATGAACTCGGGTATAGTTTATCTGATCTCCTGTAAGACGTGTGGTGACGAATACATTAGCGAAACGGGCAGACCCCTCTGTGTCCGCATGAAAGAACACCTAGCCGGCAAAAATAGACCAAATACCCCGCTAGGCACGCATAGGACCCAGAGACATAACGGAGATGACTTTGAAGTATGTGTCACCATCCTCGCACACGAATCAAGAACACAAGCGCGCAGAACTCTCGAGGCATTCTGGATTAATTCCAGAAATCCGAAAATGAACCGCAGTGAAGAATGCCTCATTATCGCGCGTGATATAGTGCAGTGTATTTTTATTCTGATGGGAGGAGCACATTATGCTTCTATGTGATTTCTGTGCGGTTGGTCTTCACGCGACATACTTAGTGGAAACCTCATAGAAAGCGGTGAGTGTGCAAAGCTGTGTTCAATGTGATTGAAATCTTGCTTTAGAGTTTCTTTGTTTGGTTATGGAAGTGTCTGGCCGAATTGATTGCTATCAACTTGACCTTTCCAGGCTCTGAGGAAGGCGAAATCCGCCGAAACGTCAGCTTATTCGTGAATAAGGAATAATAACTCCTCGCGTTTGCTCAACAAAAACACAAAGGAAGACCACATCATATTAAATAGAAGGTTTTGCCTAACCGATATCGCTATTGTCCCAAAATTCTACACGGGATCAGAGCATTACCGTCTTCGTGCAAGATTCTATTTCTCGCGGAAAGGAGAAAAAGCCGCTAAATTCCAAACCCGAAATCCCAGAGCCACCGCAGACTTGGACATACTCACTTCATTAGTCGGCTTTTGGGAAGGTGCCATTGTCGGTAACATCGACGAAAAATGCGATCGGCTCATTCAACATCTTCACATTAGCGCTATGATAGCGGAGAGTGCGAAAGTCACCAACACACGTCTGTCTCCACAAACACTCGAACTGATACGCCAGTGTGGAATCGCGCGAGCTGCAGGCAACAGCGAACTAACGTTTGAAATTGCAAAAATTGCAGACAGACGATGAAAGAGTGTCTTAAAAGGAGAAGAGCAGCAGTAATGGTCGAAGCTGCAGAGGCTGGCAAAAGCATTCGCAAAGCCTAGCGATGCTTCGCCAATTACAAAACCAAAATGGTTGCACTGCGGCGCTCAAACAAAACAGTTACAGCGTCCAGAAAGGCAATGGAGAAAATCATTCACGAATACTGCTCGGATCGCTTCGATAGCCACGTCCACTTCCTTCATACGAAATAAAGGGGAATGGATATGTTTACCACCTGTTCTCCCTTCCGAAATCCGGCGTGCCATTTCGTCGGTGGAAAATCGAATAGCACCAGGTCCGGACAGGATAAGACCAGAACACCTGAAGAACCTTCCGCCAGTCCTCGTGAATACATTGGCCCAGCTCTTCACACGTTACCTGTCTGAATGCAAGGTCGCTACTCAGTGGTGTCTACCAACAACACCGTGCTATCTAAAAACTTTTCGCTGGAGTGAACAGGATTAGCAGAGCACTGGACGAAAGACTGTCATTTGAGCAAGCAGGGTTTCGAAAATGATTTAGTACGGTGGACCACATCCACGGGATAACAAGGCTCACTGGAGTGTTGCGAGAGTACGAAAGACCTCTTTGTCTCACTTTCGTCGATTTGCAAAAGGCTTTTGATTCGGTTGAGACAGAAGCAGTCTTGGAAGCCCTTGATAGTCAAGGAGTCCCTACTCAGTACATAAAGATTTTTCGTGAGTTGTACAAAAATTTCACAACTAAGATGTCACCATTCTACAACGATATTAACATTGACGTCGGAAGAGGTGTTAAGCAAGGCGATACCATCTCGCCAAAACTATTTACCGCCACACTCCAGAACGTCGTGTGCACAGTGGAATGGGATAACATAGGAGTGAAAATCGACGACCTGCAGTTACACTATCTTCGCTTTGCTGATGAGATCGTCCTTATAACACAAAACATTAGCCAAGCGGAACGTATGCTTGACGACTTTGATAAAGCCTGTGGAAAGATTGGTCTTCGACTAAATCTCACAAAAACGATGTTCAAGAAGAACGGATTGGTTTCGTATGCCCCATTCACGCTCAACGAGACGAATACCTCCGAATGTTCCAGTTATGTCTATCTAGGTCGGAAAATTAATATGGTGAACGGCCTAGCTCCAGAGCTTAGCAGAAGGAAACGAGTGCCTTAGGAGCTTTGAAGAGCATCGAGGATGTAGTAAAAAGAACAAAGAACACCCGACTCCGTGCCTACCTTTTCGACTCAACGTACTTCCGGCCCTAACGTATGCTCCAGAAACCTGGTCGCTGCGTAAGCCGGATGAAGGATCACACAGTGTTATCGAATGCGCAGTCGAAAGGAGGATACTAGGACTATCCCGTTTCACACAAGTAAAGGATGGGATCCGATGCTCCGATCTGCGTGAACGACCAAAAACCAAAGATGCCTTTCTGTACGCCAAACAGTCGAAGATAAGGTGGGCCGGTCGCGCAATGCGTATGAATAGCTAGTGATGGACAGGGGCCGTTAGTGACTGGATTTTCCGGGATGTTAAACGTACTGCAGGAAGACCACCGATCGGATGTCATAGTTCTTCACAATGAGCCTTGAAGAAAGATATGATGATCGACGATTCCCTAAAGCCAGCAGAACCCACTTGGCTACTCTTACACGCGAGAGGGAAAAATGGAGGATTTACTGGCGCACACTCGAGTCAGTCGACGATCAGCGGGACTACAGGTGAGACAGGTGACAGGTGATATATGTGTATACGTACACTTTTATAAACTTTTGTTGAGCTGTGGCGAGATTGGTTATAAGTAGTCGTTGTCGTAGTTGTTATTCAATGGCTGGCATTTCGGAGACCTCGCTTTCTTCAAAGCCTGGTAGTATTTTATGTAACGATATAACATAATTCGGGTTCATCTTTAGACCTTCGAAATTTCTCCAAAGCGCTCCATGAGTCTTGTGCATTAACGTTCTTGATCCCTAGGCTCGGATGCGGGAGTCACTTCAAAATCAACAAGGTTTGCCTTCGTGTCCTATGTGTACCCTAGAGGAAGTATTTTATCGAATTTTGAGTTTCCCACCTAGCTACTTTTTAATGCGGACACAAGGTTGTCTACCCGTTTCCTTATTGTATTCTTCACCGCATGCTTTACAAGAGATCAAACACATTTTACGTGAACTCAGGCAATCCCCTGCAGGTTGGACGGGATACACCGTTTTCTGAGCATTGGGGCTTTTGAGAGCGCGTGTGGCGCAGAACTGTCATTGCGACAGACCTGGAATCGATTCCCGCTCCCATGGTCCACCAAGCCTTCCATCCCTCAGGGACTGGCAAATTGGTGCCAGAATTGTCTGGGAGGTTAGCAGCACAGGATCGATCCATCGGTAGGCCGCCTCGAGTCATTATAAAGGCCAGGTATGCATTCAATTATGTCCAGTTTGCATTCAGGTAATGAAGTCGAGTGCATGGCGCATCCCTCAGAGATTGATCAACAACTCTGAGACTACTGGTTATCACGCGTGATATAGGGCAGTATATAAAACTGCTTTTCTGATGTGAGGGGCACATTATACTTCCACGTGATTTCTGTGCGGTTGGTCTCTACGTGACATACTTAGTGGAAACCTCGTAGAAAGCGGTGAGTGTGCAGAGCTGTGTTCAAAGTGATTGTAATCTTGGTTTGGAGTTTCTTTGTTTGGTTATGGAGGCGTCTGGCCGGGTGGGTTGCTATCAACTTGACCTTTCCAGGCTCTGAAGAAGGCGAAATTCGCCGAAACGTCAGCTTAATCGTGAACAAAGAATAGTAACACCTCGCGTTTGCTCAACAAAAATACGAAGAAAATCACTTGATCAATGCCGAGGTTAATAGAAAGTCGGTCGTGGCAGTTTCTGAGAGCTTTTTTGCGGCCTTTACTGGTCCTCTCACCGCGTTACCTCCGAGGTGGAGGCTCCAATTGTGCTGTTTACTGAAGCTGGCGTAAACCTGGCTAAATAATTTGGTCAGCCCTGGTGTTCAGGCATAACTTTGCAAGGGCATTTTCAGTTCTTCACCACAATGTAGTTCAGAGCGAAGTGTATCTTTTCGGCAACGATTTCTTCGCTCTGTCTTCCTACTAGTTAGCTCGGGCACGACATTAAAGGCGAAACTAAAAGTTAAAGTAGGAATGAAAAGATGGCTGACCATTCAGAGGTAGTTTAGAAGCCGAATCCGCTGACGGATGACCATTCTGAAAGTGAAGGAGCTTTAGAGAAAAGGGAATGCGCCCGTGCAGATATTAAAAATTTGGGATTAGCGTCATCCACTGGATTATGGTGTATTCTGGCGATGAACACACCTTGTGACAGATGTTCAATTGTAGTTGCATTCATGGAGGTTTGCATCTAGTACCACTTGTCTTCTTGTTTATTTATTCCCTTACTTCTTAACCTGTTCATTTACTGCCTATTCTTTTTAATAGCAGAGTAGGTCGCGAATATAGCTTCTATAATGCTGATATATTTGCAAAACTCCTGACCGCAGGTGACTGCGGTGGGGAACGAACGCGCTATTGTTCTCTCCGGAGAGTAACGCGTTCACCACCACACCACGCGGGTCGTTTGTTTCACCTGTCTCTCAGCTAGTTCTATTGATCTTTTTTTTCGTTCCTCACCACATACACCTGAGGTCCGGAGTCCTGCAAATATCTCAGCATTATGAAAGTTATATTTTGCAACCTACTCTGCCATTAAAAAATAGGCAGTTAATGAAAGGTTAAGATTGTGATTATAAATATACCCTCAGCTTAACTGGTTCATTGCTGATTTGGGCTGCCCAGATCAATCCCGTTGACGGATGACTGCTAATGGCAAGTGATCGATAGAACTAGCTGAGAGACAGTGAAACAAACGACCCGCGTGGTGTGGTGGTGAACGCGTTAGTCCCCGGAAAGGGCAATAGCGCGTTCGTTCCCCACCGCAGACAACTCCGGAGTTTTGCAAATATCTCAGCAATATGAATGATATATTTCTCTTACTTCTATTCTACACGAGATGTCATTTTGTTTCCACACATCCATACTCCACTAGAATCTTGAAAGTATTGCATCCAGACCCTTCGAGTATTGCTTGAGGAGCTTTTATGAGCGCCGTTAAGTGGTGGTCGACTTCATTCTTCATGTAATCTAGGTATGGTCCTGAAAAGAGACTAACAATTCGTCATCACAGGCAGTCTTCATCCGTTCTAGGTCGCATGAGGCAAGCAAGTCCAAAACAAGTCGGGTACCTGTTCTCGAACTCGAAAGGGGCAACGGAGCGTCTGTTTACACGATCTGAGGTTGAACCAGAGCACTGCGCATGGTTAAGGGCACCACTAAGAAAACAACTCAAATAGATAAACGAACCACGTATTCTGAAGTTTCGTTGACTAAGCAATCGATTCGATTCTTGCTTGATAAGAACTTTAGCTGGATGCCATTGCAATTGCACCACAGAAAACGAGCCCTTTCATCTTATTTTTACACCACTGATGCAATCGATGTGCTCTGCTCTAACCCCACTTTTTATTAGCGATCGATAGTCAACCGTCAACGGATCCGATCTGGAAAGCCACAATGCGTCGCTTTTTATTCATTTTCTATTGTTATTTATCCACGTTCCCTTACTATTTAAATAACAGTCTGCCGTGAAAAAGTAATGGACAGCGGATAAAAATTATACAGAAAGCATAGACTTCGTACGTATGTCAAACAACTTCCTTCCAACACAAAGCCATTCCTTCCACAACGAAGTTTCAATTAAGCTCGGGATTCATCAAGTAGTTCTGTATATTCCTGCTGAAAAAGCACGAAGCCTTACTTTATTCTCTACCACGGTATAGTTGACGTTTCGGAGGTATCGCCTTCTTCACAGCTAGGCAGGATGTATGTAGGTAATTTGTTATATCATGAGCTTTAATAACACAAAAAAAGAAAACCTTAATGCCAATAACGTGGTCAACAACTAGGAAGGCCTACCATCTTTAAATTATTTTGATTACTATTCTGATTATTGTTATACCTTTTTATTTTCTGCCTACTATAATTTCGCGGCAGGGTACTAAACGAAATACAACCACAACGTTGCTGAGATATTTGCAAAACTCTGGACCGGAGGTGTCTATGGTGGGGAACGAACGCGCTATTGCCCTTTCCGGGGAGTAACGCGTTCACCACCACACCATGCGGGTCCTTTGTTTCGCCTGTCTCTCAGCTATTTCTATCGATACACCGACTGTAGGCGATCGACTGAGGTCGTCGGCCCTGAGGAAGAAAAAGTCGTCGAAACGTTAGCCGAAACACACCTCCTTCCTATCTTGCTTTAGTTTGATAATTCCGGAAACTATTGATTTCTCAAACTGTATTTGTGTGACCAATCTTCATGAACAAGAAGAATTGTAAATCACCCGGGAAATATCTATTTGTCTGCGGACTCCTTTGTTAGACAGTATTTCATTTTTGCGGACTCATGAAGGAATTGTGAGTGCTTTCCCACATCAGTGTTGTAAGTGTCACCAATTGCCATCTAGCGAGTACGTTGTTTCAGAGACAGATTTCCGGTACCGATTTACCACTCATACAAATGTTATTTTTTGTCCATAACGATATTACTAAGAGAAATTTCAGCTCCTTGAAAAAAGTTTCTTCGAATCTGTCCTTATTTGTCTGCACATTAAGGTAAATTTCTCATCACTATCCCATCATCGTGCCCAAAACTTTTTGCTAAGCTCTGTGCTGATATTATTCACGACAACTCAGTGCTGCCTGCTGAAGGTATGCTTTCACAGAATGTGTTTTTTTTTGTATGATTTTGCATTTTCTCACAATCAGACCACGATCAGTTGCTTCTCAAACTGTATATGGAACAATTAAAGTGCTTTATAAGGCTGGCAGATGTATTCTACTCACCTTCTTCCACTTCTAACTGATAATATCTATACCAAAATAAACCTTGCTATTAAGAAAAGCGCCATGACTACACTGGATAATTTGTTGATCAGTCTCCGCAAACACCGAGCAAAGTAACTAAAGCTATGAGATTCAGGAGAGTTCCATAGCCACTTATTCGGTCGATCTACTTACTAATCGCACGAATTCCTACTTCCACACAAATCGCCGACGAGTCCGAATTCTGGTCTAAACTCGGCGAACCGATCCACAACGAAGAAAAGTGTGCCTGTGGTGAACGCGAGGACGCGCTTAAAAGACTGCATCTGAATTTAAGAGTGGATGAGTTAACCAACATTCAAGAGCCTAATCTTCACACGAATCCTTCTACTATTATAGGTGATGGTTGGAAGGCAACGAAGCAAATAGGCTAAATGATAGAGCCCACACAATCCTCGAGAAAGCTCCATCTAAATAAATATCTAACAAACCAAACGTTATGAATGACACAGCAGTGAAAAAATTGCCAAGCGGAGAAGAGTCCAGCGTCACAATGAAGCTCGTGGCGAGTCATACCAATGGAATTGCTTTCGCATTCTAACAAACGATGACTACACACTATGACCTCAAGTAGTAAAAACTGACGATCTTTGCTATATAAATATGAGCAGGAGAAATTGATTCATCAAATCGAGAGCATTTTTGTCTGACTGCTCATTCATCTTCAATTCACGGTTCCCTGTTTAGCCGATACCACGGACGAGTTCTCCGTTTTCACAAATATGATGCATACAACAGAGCCCTCGTTGACAAAACATTTTTAAAATTCGTTAATAAATTCAATGAGGAATTTGTAGTGTTGGCGAAGAAGTCCGGTGGCAATGAAAAACACTTTATGATAATACACAACCCTAATAAAACCATTGCGCTCCAATTATCTTTTGTATTTCAGAATAATTTTTTCCACTGATACAGCTAGTTACAGCGTTGTAATCTCACTGTACATCCTCTCAATCTCCTTCTGGAATCGTTGCTTCAAAACGTGACGACGAAGCTTTAGTGTTGGCGTAACCAAGCCGCTTTCGGCCGTCAACTCCTGAAGTAAGCTTTTTCTCGATCGGAAATCCAACGTCCTCCAAAAAAAGTCAGCTACCAACTAAACTTCTGAAAAGAAAAAAATGCGCAATTTTTTCTGCTTTGGTCATTATTTTCGGGAAAAGAAACTCACTTCTTAAATCCACGTAAACAACATCATTTGGCTTAACGTTTTGTTTTCTGCCTTCTATAATTTTCATGACAGGTTACACCTGCGGTCCAGAGTTTTGCAAATATCTCAGCAACGTTGTGGTTGTATTTCGCTTAGTAACCTGCCATGAAAATTATAGAAGGCAAAAAACAAAACGTTAAACATTGTGATTTCAACTACAGCCACAGCTTAACTGGGTTCTATGCCGATTTGGACTCCCCAGATCAACCTCGCTGACGGGTGATTGCTGTGACAAAAAGATCGATAGAAATAGCTGAGAGACAGGCGAAACGAAGGACCCGTATGGTGTGGTGGTGAACGTGTTACTCCCCGGAAAGGACAAAATCATTTGGATTGTCAAAATATTATAGGTACCTGGGATATTAGGTGTATATTTTTGATGAGTTCGATCGTTTGTAGTTTCTTATCCTTTGCCAGATTGTTGAGCTCACTCAGTACAAAGTTTCGCACATCAGGTTCAGATAGCAGTTGCTCGTCGGATAGCTCTGCATACCTTGCCATCTGAGGTAGATTGTTTATGAATGAAACTCTTTACATGTACACACTACACACACATACAATGTATACTACGTGAACAAACAGACTGATTGCAGTGGTGAAAAAGGCCAAAAACAGAAAATATATTATAAGACCCACAAGATAGCCCATGGACTTTAAGCTTCGACTTTTTTCATATGTCTTTTGCTTAAGTGTCTCATAAACATGAAAGAATGAGAGAAGAAAAGGAAGTAACGATTCGATATACCCACTTCATGTCGAACACTCATCGTTCTCCGCAATACCGCTACATTCGTGACAGCAATACCAACCAAAAAAGAGCGGATTGCCAGTCCGGATACGAAGATCTGAGAAATGATGGGTTCGAAACGACGTGGAAGAAACAGAGCGAAGTTTATATAAAATCCATGTTTTCAAGTGGTTGCTTATAGTAAGAGCCGACTTCCATACTCCTCTCTCTTTTTGCCCTTGTAGAACAATTATCATATTTCTTGTGAGGATAGCATCAACAATAATGAACAATGTCATAATTTTACTACAGGAGACTTATGAAAACTCGCTAAACGGAACTGTTTTCTACCTGCTCGATCAGAGGTGAACAAAGGTAGACGGACTCGATCTGCTCCGGGGACACGAAGTCGCCCTGCGCAAGTTTGATAAAAGCGTTCTTCCGCTCGATGATCTTCAACGCTCCGTTAATCTGCCATTCACCAATGTCACCAGTGTGGAGCCACCCCTGCCAAACAACATTTTTATACTTGCTGACTAAACAAAATGTTTATGAAAGATCATTTCCAAACGAAAACGGAAAAAAGCAATCGCAATACTGCTCCTTTTTGCTTATTTAACGACGTCCCAATGTCAATGCGTTGATTGAAGACCACTATGGTTTCTAACGATAAAATTCCTACGAGAACCTCTTTATCGACGGTTTTTCGTGACAACTCGTCGTCCATAAAGTACCCGCGCATTACTGCGGCTCCACGGAAACAAACTTCTCCTTTGTTCTCTGCGGCGAAATAAGATAGTTCTGGTACGTCGACGAGCTTGACCTGAATAGAATCGGACGAATTAAGTTCCGAATGAATGTGGTTGGCCTTCCATAATTGTCTTAGTCTTGCATGCCTAGATTTAGATTTTGCCATAACGTAGCGGGCAACAATAGGTTTAAACGGAACAGCATATGTTGTCGACAACTTGTTGAGTCGAGTAAATGAACCAAGTAATAAAACGAATACGTCAAACAACTAATGACACTTGTCTAATCTTAATAAACGACTCAAACATGTTCTGGAAGTATTTGCACAGCTCCAAAGGTCGAGAATTCAATGATAATCTACAATAACAAGTATGATGACCTACCTGTGCCCATGGTGCAGGGCCGCCAACGTGACCGGAAGAACAGTCGAAGGGAAGATTCAGTGTGCCAGCCGCACCGCATTCAGTTTGGCCATATCTAAATAACTTGACACCGTAAATACAATGATATTCCCACGAACTAATGAAAAATCGCTTGAAAGTATCTACACACGCACTTATGGATATTAAAATGTGCACGCATTAAGTACGCATCAAGAGAAAAACGGCCTGAAGGATTAAACTTAAGCCCCATTAATGTAAAATAAATAAAAACATTCTTAAGAAGTAAAAACATGGACATTTTTGTGTATTTACATACATAGGGTACGTTTGTAGAGATCTTGTTGCCATTCACTGTGAACTCTTCTAGACACTTTGTTCTTTTTTCCTTCACACATTTTTCTTCATGTACTGTTTCTTTGTCGTTTTCTTTCTCAGCAGTCGCGAGGTTGTTAAACAGCATGCGTTTACTTCCATACAATAACACACATACAACACAGCCTTATTTGACGTTTCAGCAGAATCGCCTTCTTCAGAGCTTGGAAGGGTACACTAATACGCATACGCTGGGTACTGTTTCTTTGTCCGTAACTCCGCCTCTGCTCTCACTGTTTAAGCGCACCCGCCAGTGGTTCGCCGACTTATTGTAACAAAAAGATGTTGTTGGGTCTCAAACAGGCCATGTACAGTCGGACTTCATTTTAAAACAGGGTCGCTTAAGCAGAAGAATTTGTTTTTTTTCATTCAACGATTTGTCATCCTCAAATTGAACTGAAAGAAAACCAATGTTGCGAATCACTGTCGTAATGGCAGCAACTCAAGGGCAGTATTCTTAGGCTTCAGCTTAACTGCGTTCAATCCCGATTTCTGCCCTCCAAATCAATCCTGTTGATAGATGATTGCTGATAGCACCTATAAAATACGGTTTAGAGAAAGCAAACCGAAGAACCGGCTTGGTGTAGTGGTGAACGCGTCATCTCCCGAAAAGGGTGGTAGCGTGTTCGATCCCCACTGCAAACAGCTGCGGTCCGGATTTTCGCAAATATCTCGGCATCATTGTAGTCACTGTGTATTCTTTCATTGATAGGCTAAAATAGGTTGATAAAGCTTCATTCGGCTAACGGTTCGGCACTTTCACTCTCCTCAGAGCCGGATTTATTCGAGTTTTTCTTTGTCGACTTTCGAAATATTGTTAGAGTCTGCGCTAGCTTAGCTTATATTGATACTGAATTCTGCAGTGCAGATTGCCCTGAAAAAAAAGCGGTTATCAACGGTCAGTCATCATCAATTATAACCGTCCAATATAAAGAAGCAATGCTGTGTGAGGCTATTCGTTCAGGCAGTGCTCCTCTCTAGATACGAGTCGATGCAATCACAAAGACCCATATCGAAAGAACGGACAATTGAGGACAATTGACTCCGGTCAGTTTGGCTCAGAAAAAGGCTAAAAAGCCAGAATTTCAGCGAAATAAAGTTTTTTATCAGCCTTGTGTTATCTTAACAATAAGAGAGTGCGTAAGTGCTGTTAAACTCTGTCATATGTCTCTTCTACTATTGCCCTAGTAATCACTGGCGCGTTAAAGCTATTTCAATTTTCTATATACCTTCTAAACCCGGTGTAGTTGCATCTATATTCTCATATTAAGGTTCAATTACCCAAGTTTAATAACCGTGCCACTCAGCTAATCAAGGTTTAGGTGGAAAAATAATCAGGACTTCCAGCTAAGTTCTCTACAGAAACTAAATATAAACTCTTAGATATAGAGGTGGATAGGTTATGGCTCCAGACAATTCTCCACATACATGTTGTTTGTTAGCATTTGCAATATTGAACACACTTGTAAAGCACGCATTTGGTTGAGTTCACAACTAGGTTCTAGTAGTTGTCCACTAGGAAGTGAATCACAATTACAATGCACCAAAACTAAAGCAAATGACCGCTTCCTATAACGATCCGTACCTCTTAATTAAGGGTTCATATAAAAATGTATAACTTCCATACTTGAAAATATAATTCTCAAATAAAACAGAATTAGGAAAGAAGTGTCCAGGAAAGTGATAATGCTTTAATTTTATGGAGCGAACAGCCTCCATCATTTAAAGCTAGGTAAAAAATAACGAGCTATTTTATCTACGAATATTGTAAAAGACATGAATGCTTAAGTTGTCCATATGTTAGTGGAAAAATTTAAGTCGTCCATGTGTTAGTGGAAAAACTATCTATGTGAAAGTTTAACTATCGACTAGATATAGTAAATAAAAATAAATAAATGCACTATAATAAACAACCCCTAAAGTGAAGTCCTCAGAATTCTTCTACTGTTACTCTTCATCGTTAATTGTAAAGTCAACAACTAAGTAAAACGAATGCTACCTTAAAAACCTCCGTTATCAATCACTAAAGTAGCTATGAAATGGACTAACCCTTCCATTAACGGACACCCATAAGCGATTCGTGTGAAATCCATCACTGTGGGAGTGACTGGAGCACCGCCAGTGGTCAGCAGGCGCAGACGACCACCGAATTGTTTATGGATCTGAGGCATTCTATAGAAGAATCATATCTCTCTGTAGTGCAATTTTGAACTAGAAGAAAAAGTTTCGTAGGAGTTTTCGAAAGTTTGTTCTGGAAAAATTGTCATGAGAACGCCGCCAGTGTGAGAGTATTCAACAAGATTTTTCTAAATGAACACATACTCTTTTGAACACGAGTTTGTCCCAAACTGTGTCGTGCCTTTGAACACCGTTATGCAGCATTTCAATCTTTACCTTAAGCAAAACAATTAAATGTACTCGTACAGTATAATAATTTCGATTCATATATCCTTATGAATAACACTAATTATTGCTCAGTAATCTTAGTAAACATAAGACTAGTTAAGCGGATGTAAAGCATTTATTTTTTCCTTTTTCGAATGTTAGAAGTGATCACAGCGTTTTGTTCGCTTAAGGATATGAAGAATATCAAAGTTAACGCATCTTATTATGAAGAAGCTCTTTGTTTTCACCATTTTTGAATCATAGATAGCCCACTTATACTTGTCGTGAGCTCGGTATAAGCGAAAATCTTGGTGGATTACTCCACAGTAGACATTTAGCTGTCGGAATCAAGCATAGTACGTGCACTATGTATTAAAATTTTCACTTCCTTAACTACAGCTTCATGGAAGAATCGGTATGTGTCATGCAGTCCACATGTACGCAAATGCACTTAGTTGCGCAAGCGTTATATTTGCAAACAAAATCTGCAAGCCTGTTAATCCAGCATAGCTAAAAAGAAAACTAACCCCCTGAAAAAAATTTGCTTTTACACAAAACGTACAAAGTCGCTTGTAGTCCACCACTTAGAATGTTCTACCTAACCTAGCAACCATCTGGCAATCCACCGTTAGAGAGTTCCGTAGAATGACTACTCATCAATATAAGATTTTTCTTCGGAGCTCATTGGCAAGCATTTCAGAACAACAGTGACTAAAATTCAACCTCATGAGAAGTTTGTGCTCGCCGAACTGATTCTAATAATTCCGATAGATCTGGCTATGTAGACTGCCAAAAATCATGGAATAAATTTTAAAGAAAATAAGAATATAGGGATGGTGAGAAATAACCAGAACTCGGAAGTCTAGGTAGGCTTCTAACCTGTAATTAGCTGAAGCCCTACTGAGGTTCTGAGTTTTATACATATTTCAGCATCTCTGTAGTTTTATTCCACATCATACTCTACTATGTAAAAAGATAGGCGCTTAACAAAGCATAAAAATATTAAGAAGCGAATAAACAAGCCGAGTACAAAGCTCCCATAGACAGTGATTACCTGTTTTGCATGCTCAAATAGTTTTCGAATCAAAAAGTTTTTCTTCGCAATCCTTGCATGAATTTGGTCGTGGAACTTGTTTAGGAGACGTGGAACAAGGCTAACAATAGTAGGTCGAAGTAACTAAAGTTAGAAACTGAATGGATTCATAGCAGAGAATCAACATGTTTGGTAGCAATGTAAAACGTCAATTAATACTACGAATTTTCTACTGAGACCGCCAAAACTTTTTCGAATATCAGGGTCTCCTTAAAACCGATTTTCTTTGAACTTAGGCATGACTAATCAATACATATTCATTTACTGATGGACAAACACGAGATTGATGAAATAAATTTTAGTCGGCTTGCTACTCAACGTCTTCGTCTTCTTCAGAGCCGATGATCCAAGTCGATGTTCAGAGTTCTTCGCAGTCCCAATGTGCTGTCTTCGACATCGAAACGAGTTAGATCTTCCTCAGTGGAGCATCGCCTGAAGTAGGCAACCTCGCTCGGCGATGCTCTTTTATACAAGACGGTTGTTGTTGATACGATCTCCTGGTTATAATAATTGGTTTTTTTCGAGACAATCCATCCTGCATAGATCGACATCATTATCAGCTAGAAGGAAATGTACTGTGCAGTCATGTCGAAGTTAAAGTGAAGTTGGTTTTCCGCTTTACTACACTTTGCGCTATCTGATAATGATACTGACTTTTGCAGAATGCATTGCCCAGAAAAAACGAGTCATTATCACCGGACCAGACGATCATATCAATAACAATCATCCTGTATAAAAGAGGGTCGCCAGGTGAAATTGCCTCATTCTAAAAGTGCTCCAATGAAAAAGCTGCGACTCAATACGACGACGAAGACACGAAGTCGTGAGCATGAAGGACTGTGGATATCGACTCGGATCATCGACTGTGAAGAACACAAGGCGTGGAGACCTTAGTTGAATAAAGTTTGTTTTCTCAACCGCGTGTCAGCTCATCAATGAAAGAATACGTGTTCATCCAACTTTCTATTAGGGCGACGCAGTGTAACATTTACAATTAATAAAAATTGCATCGAAAGAAAAAAAAACATAATTTCACTGAAAGTTTGATTTTAGTTCAAATTTCAATCACTAAATCTGCACAAATAGTTCTCAGTGAGCATACTCTTAGCTGTCGACATGATTTTAAACTGTTGCTGAAGAGTACCATTAAAAGAACTAGGTGTCCACGACGGTGGTGAGAGATGTGGAAGTGGGAGATCTGACGCCAATGAGGACAGTATCATCACGTATAGCATTTACAAAACTATTATTAACTCTTAACAAACAAAACAACCCGACTAGGAAAGAACCGACTATAACACACAATTAAAATATTTCTTTACGGCGCTTGATAACTCATCTATTTATAATACTTTATTTTGAATAATTTGTAATATTTATAAAAGACTACATAAATTCAGGTTACCTTAATATCTGTGAGCAGTCGCGATACATCACCGCTATATATCCCAATCCGACCACCGACATAGATCGTAAACGCCTGAAGGCACACATTGCAAGCACCGTGAAAGTTGTAGACACAAATTTTATACAGATTGCTTAAATACATTTTAGTGAAGCTGAAGGAAGTTATGAAGGACGTTCACATAATTTGTGAAGCAGTAACATAGTTATCATTATGTTGTTAATGAGCACGGATTTAGCAAAACGTTGGGTGACGCATCACTGATGGAACATTTCATGGAAGTAATTTTGTCATATAGGAAAACTCCGAAAAGCAACTATATGGTGTTCTAAATTTATTCTATAAGTAATCGGACCGAAGCTTTACGTAGAAGTATCTTATAATCGTATCTCATAAATATAGCGGTCACCTCCATAAGATGTTCATAGATATGTGCTAGCGACAGAAAACTGAAATAGACGTCGTTTCGTGAAAAGCAGAAACGATTCGGTGGCAGCACCCATTGTATATAGAGACCACTCATCGCGACTAGCAACGAACGGTGGGAGAGCTGAACGCCTTTCGGTTGGCCTCAACAGAAAAACAATTCATATGGTAGAAATATGGTTGGATGTCAGTCCCAGTGCTACTCCAGTCCTTCTTGTCTATGAACCTAGCAGTTTGAACCACTTCAGAGACTATTTCAATTTAAGTTTTCAGTTCTACAACGAAAATTTTTTTCTCATATAATTTTCAATTTATGTCTGCAATGTGTAGTTCACCTCAACGCATGTGAGTTTCAGTTTCTTACTGGAATCTCCTAAAAGGGTTTCTTTCTTTATTACCTGTAGTGCCGCTGGTAAAACATATTATATAGGTCGAACTCGGCGAAGGCGGTACGGGCGGCTTCAAATTTTCTTCGCCAAGAGCCATCATATGCTCATATGAGTACACCTAGAGATTTTCATTTTCTTTTAGAAAATACAATTCCTAAAAGAACTGTCTCTATTTTTAAAGCAGCAGGGGTTTCCGATGCAAAATTTCGAAAACAAGTGAAATATTCGTACTTTTCAACTATAGAGATTTCAGAGAAGTATACATTCATACCCTTATAACAACAGATAGGTGCCGGACAAGTTGCCAATAAGATGAAACTCGTCCTACCTCTAATCCTTCGATCGACTCATGTGCACCGTGCGGTTGTCGGCTTGACGAGTTCAGTATCACCAGTTTCTTTGGGCCGTGCACAACACCTTCATTTATTTTTTGGATGAAAGTGGCTGCACGAGCTTCATTGTCACAAAAAATCACCTTCAGTTCACACTTATTGATGATATCGCTGAAATAATGAAAGGTAGTTTGCCACATAAGAAAGCAAAGCCTCTTCAATTCTCGTAGCCGCTTGCACTCTTACTTTCTCACAGAGTGAGGAACTAAAGAACAATTTCGAAACGCTGTATACAATTTGGAGCGCACTCTCTAGACAAACTCATACAAAGGTACTGCTTATTTCAGGAACGGATTAGGGTTTGTATTACAGTGTATTTCGCAGCAGATCTATTTCTATAATATTGACACATGAAGTCCAGGTTGCATTGTGTGCAATGAATCGAGTGGAGGGGAAGACTGGACAGACTGCATTATACTCAATGCATTCCCCATCCAACGATTTATTTCGCCACACACAGATTTTTTCAGAATTCTTCGTTCTCTTGAGGGAAAACATAAGGCTGCTACTTTATTCTTTATTTACAAAAAAGCCACCGTTCAGGCGGATTTCACCTTCTTCAGACCCTGCAAAGGTTCAACTCTGTATGAATCCAAAGAATCCAAAAAAGAACAGCACAGAGGGATGCGTCTTTATCACACGTGATCTCACACAACTTGTAAGACTGATAATTCAATGTGAGGCAAGTATATAACCTATATAATTCATGTGCACTCCGTACGGTTGCTCTCCATGTGGTATACTCAATGGAAGGCTCGTAGAAAGCGGTGACTGTGCGAAAAAGCTATTTTGTTTCCAATGCGATTGAAATCTTAGTTTATGGCCACTGTATATAATGGGCGGATTCAAAAGATAAGTCAAACAACTATTATAGTAAATAACAGCATACATAACAAGCATTTCCTTAGATCGACAAAAAAGAGTCTCCGCTATAAATTTGTCATGCATTTTAACCCCCCAAGTCCTCTAATTATCGAAGAATCAGTCTTTTATCGAATTATCGAAGAATCAATCAGTCTTTTGTTGAAAACGACCAGATCAGTAACGGACAACTAAGCGTCATCCTTCGCGGCCGCCACACACAATTTTGCCTCGTGCCTTATGTGACAAGCCGACATATGGAAAGAAGAAGACAAAAGACGAATGAAAGAATTAAAGAGCTATTCAAGCCTTCAAAAGAATGGAAACGAAGTTAAACGACCTACCATAAAGTTTCTATCTTCGAATTATGGTAGAGAGGAACGAGAACCATATTATAGGACACAAGAGCGTGTAAAGCGGTCATGTACCTGAAGAAGAGCCGTATACCCAAATTCCAGTGAAAACAGCGCAAACGGTAGATTTGATTTATGATGATGGAGAATTACGACAGACCAATACAACAAGTAAAGATAATCTACCCAGCAGTTTACCGCTTCATCGTGGGTAGGAGGTACCTGACGGTGACATCCACAGTCGTCCGTCACCTGAATGATTTGGGCAGCACATATCGGCATCGAACCCAGTTTTGCAAATATCTCAGCATCATGGTAAAAACAAAGACTGATTTTCTCGTGGGTCCTCTACTTGAATGGCCTTTCTTCACAATCCAAAATAAAAGAGTTGCATCCGGTACAATGTAATCCTGACAGAATTTTTTGTTGGGAAAATTCATTCATTGAAGCCTCGAAAGCTGTACCACAGCTTTCTCAGGCTCTCATCACATGCCCTCAAGTGATTGTGGATGGTCGCACCAACATGGTAATGACTCCTGACACTGCTTTGGGCTTTACTGGGCTTTCAGACGGAGATGTCAAATTCCTTCATACCCTAGAAATCCTTAGCCACTGGCTGAATTCCGCTCCGCGCATTAGTCCGATATCTATGAACGCAACACAACAAATGTGAGACGGAGAAGCATTAATGGAAGAAGAAATGATATTGGGTGAATCTGTTTGAACGAAGAAAATTATAAAGTCTAGAACGCAATCTTTCGAGGGGCATCCATGGCTAAATAACCTTGGGTAGTGATAAGGTTTTCGATAAGGAATGAAGAGTGTTTTATTGAGCAATAAAGGTGACACACCTAACAGAATGAATTCCGGCTATTCCAACTCGTGTATTTTCTCCAGGTTCAATTCCAAAATGAAGTAAAGCCGAGCCAAGAACTTGAGCGTCATGACGAATCTGAAGTAGCAGTGTACGTGGTATTTCCTGGAATTCGTATGGATTCGCCGTATTACGCATAACTATTTGATAATACTGGTAATTAATATATTTGCTTGAATATTTCTGTAGTTTCGCATTTCACAGCATTCTCTGTGGTCTGTCGATCGGTGAACATTTAACAGAGAAGATATAGAGAACATTCGTCACGAATATTGGAATGTTCTCTATGTAGAACAATTATAACCTTATGCCTTCTACAACACCTGTCTATTCGTAATCGTCATACATCTATTCTTGCACATTCGCTAAATCATCTCTTAACAACCGTTTCATGCAATTGCCTCGCAGGTGGCTGGAAAGGGAATCAGCAGCAGTCAGCTGAATGCACTTTTCAGCATCTGTCGTTCCAAAAAAGTCTCCGAACAGACACCTGCACCCTTCCACATGCAACCCCTCTCCGGACGCCGCCTTTAGTTCTCTCTGGCAAAGCTCCACCCACTACAGATGTAATACAGGCAGCCCATAGGACTGGTCCTGAAATCTTAGCCGCGTTCGACCGTTCTGCTTCGGGTCCGTCAATTCCTCAGTGCTCCAACACCAGTGTCCGCGTTAATTCCTTCAAGTGTATCACTTGTTAGTGTTACCATTTCAATTCCGCCTTTATCCACCCAGCTTACATATCGCCAAATATCACACATTATTGTATTACCGTTGCATTAATCATACAGTTGTACTGTTATGCCAATCTCTTCACTCATAAGCAACATGAACACCAGTGATCACGCTGCGCCTATTCATTACCCGTATCAATATTGCATTAATTATACAGTTGTACGGTCAGGCCAATCTCTTCACTCATAAGCAGCCCGAATATCAGTGACCAGGCTGCATCTGTTCATTACCCGTATCATCGTTGCATTAAATACACAGCTGTACTGTTATCCCAATCTCTTCAGTCATAAGCAACCTGAACACCAGTGGTCAGGCTACGCCTACTCATAACCCGTATCATTGTTGCATTATCTGTAGAGTTGTATGGCTATGATTGTTGTATAATTATGATAAACGGTTTAATTACCCAAGTTTGAAGTGTCCGGCGTTGTGACTGCTAATCACAAGAAGTCCCGCGTGGCGTACACAAGGGCTAGCAGCTAATTCCGACCGAATCGTCCTAACTACTTGGTATTCCTATATCAACGAGCCGTCCCAACAGAAGAAGTAAAACGATAACGTTTAACGTTTTGTTTTCTGCCTTCTATAATTTTCATGGCAGGTTACTAAGCGAAATACAACCACAACGTTGCTGAGATATTTGCAAAACTCTGGACCGCAGGTGTCTATGGTGGGGAACGAACGCGCTATTATCTGGTAACCTGCCATGAAAATTATAGAAGGCAGAAAACAAAAC